CATCAGAGAATGCATGTATTGGATCAGAAACGTCAGTGAAAAGAACAGGTGTTAATTTATTCGAAGACAGTATTTCAAATAATGGCCAGTTAGCTTTGGAAAAGTTCGATCTTGTTGAAGGAGGAACGTCAGAGGGGTACCAGGTTTCAATATCGTCGGGAAATGGTCACTGCCACAGAGGTCATCGTGAACTGACCATTCGAATTTGATAGAAGAGTCTGTAAGAGATAAATCAAGCAATGAGTACGTACCTGTTCCAGGGTGTAAATAGGTTTTAGAAGTATCATTGAAAAATGCATAAATCATTGTTGGAAATGTAATTCTCTAATATCTTCCCTTTATTGTTTGTATTGCACTACCCTAAAGTGGATTATGCCCATTTAAATCGCCCACAATGATACATGGCTTGGGAAGTTCGTCATACAACGCTTGAAGTTGAGGTCGATTGAGATTAGAAGATGGAGGAACATAGAGAGAGCACAAAGTAAAAACAATGTGCATTGTGATACTAACAGCAACAGCTTAAATTGGGGAACGGGGTTCTGAAAGACACCCTGCCTCACCAAAACTGATGAACCTCCTGTTGCTTTACCGCCTCGAGGCTAAATGAAATTATATGAATTGCACTGTCTGTCTTATATCAAAGTGATCTGTATTGTTTAAATAGGTTTCCTGAATACAAAATTCTGACGGATTTATATCTTGTATTGATAACTGTAAGTCATTGAAATTATTCTTAAGTCCTCTGCAGTTCCATTGAATAATATTACAGGAGCTCATGGTGGCTCAATAGGCGATCTAGAGCGAGGTAAAGGTGTTACCTCTATCTCAAGAGGTCCAAATGGATTGTGGACATCCACAGGAGATGGCAAGGAAGAAGGCCTTTCCAAATGTTGGAGGGCCCTGGCCCTTCTCCTAATCTGTTTTTTCTTCTTTTTAGTCAAGTGAGGACCGCCCTGGACTTGATCACTTTCTTTATCTGCTTCTTGTTCATGATGTGTGAACTCGGTCGTTGAAGCCGACGTTGAAAAATTGTGTTAACAGAAGCTGGAGAAGAGACTTGAGAATTTGGGACTCATCGGTGCATGCTGTGCAGGCTTTTTCATGAACAACATGGTCACCATCGCAGTTTGCAACATTTGATGGATTCATTCGGGCAGTCACAGCTCTCATGAGCTCCACCATACCACAAGCATCGGAGTGGGCTCGGCACGCTTACCTCCACTCCGATGTTGAAGTAGCCAGCCTTGAGAGATTTGGGTAGTATTTGCAGGTCAAGCATTAACTCACTCACTCACTCTCCCCTAGAATAACGATACCCTGACAAGAGTTCAGTGCCCTGTGCACTGAGACAACAACCCAGGTGTTAACAAAATGCTGTAGTCCCAGCAGGTTAACAGATTGTTGCCGCTGTGCACATTCAACCATGATTGAACGGCTTCGAAGTCGTGTAACATTTTTTACTGCTCCGTAGGCACCTTCAATGCCCATGGAGAGAGCAAATGGGTTCATTTTCAACGGATGCAGTGATGCAATGACTATAAACCGAGGCCAAGAAACAGTATTTGGAGCTGTATTTGGAGCAGCTTCATCAACAGATGCGTCAGATGAAATACAGTCGACATGGTTACGTTTGTAAGTCTTTGATGAACTAGAAGACGTGTCTTCTTTAAGAGAAATTTAGACGTTGAAGTACTAAGTAAGGATGAGATATATGGATGAACAACTTCTTTATTACAATTAGGTGCAGCGTTTCGGTGTATGTTCTACCGCCGTTATCAAGCAAGTGGAGCGTTATTTCCGTCGCCATCCTATGGTCTACAATTTGAATAAACTTAAAATTTTAAATGCTAAAGCCAGGCGTACATTTAAAAAAAGTAAAGGCCAATCTTGGTGAAATTATGTGTCAAAAATAAAATCAATAACGCCTATGTCCAAAGTATGGAACATGATCTAAAAATTCAAAGATAAGGGCATTAAATCTGGTATTCACCATCTTAGAAATGGAGACCAATTGCTAACTCATAAATCAGATATTGCTAATATACTTGGTGAAACACTCTTCCTCATCTAGCTGTACCTCAAATCCAAAAGTATCAAAAACAGCAAGAAAAAAGAAAACTATTAATGTTCATTCAGCAAATGGGGAAGATTATAATGAACTATTTTCTATTCATGATCTCCATACTGCCCTTGGACAAGCTCACGATACTGCTGCAGGAGCTGATAACATACATGATCAATTCCAGAAACACTAACCAGAATCATCCTTACAAACACTATTGAATATCTTTGATGAAATTTGGACGTCGGGAAACTTTCCTCCTTCGTGGTGTGATGCTATTGTTGTCCAAATACCCAAACCCGGGCGTAATCATCCTGACCGTTCAAATTACCGACCAATATCATTGACAAGCTGCATTTGCAAAAACACGGAAAGCATGGTAAATAATTAACTAGCTTGGTACTCATAAACCAACAATCTCATTACTAACATACAATGTGGATTCCGGAAAGAAAAAAAAAGTACCATAGATAATTTAGTTCGCTTAGAATCATTCGTTAAAAATGCAATAATCAGTAAATAATATGCTGTGTCTATCTTTTATTGTTTAATGATTAATATAAACAGTTTATCTAAAGTTTGAAATGATTCGATCGATGGATCGCTCTTTGTGGATGATTTTAATACTTCTTGTCATGGCAAAAACATGCACACTATTGTGAGGCAACAGCAGCCGTGTTTAAATAAAATCCTTAAATGGTCTTTAGAAAACAAAATTAAATTCTCAAACCATAAAACAAACTGTACACATTTTTGCAGAGACCTGATCATGAGCATCGATCAACTCAGTTGGGATCCGATGACCTGCATCAACCAAGTCAGCGAGCCTGACCACCCCCATTCCAAGTAGTCGCCTCTTACGACAAGCATAGTCGCCTTTTACGGCAAGCATGGCTTACTGAAGATCTGATTTGAATGAGATTGGTCTTTCGGCGTGACGAGCGAACGCTTTAACCACTAGGCTGCCTGACCGCCCCTAACATTGCCGAACTGTCATAACCGACTGTTTTCTCCAGATCTCTCCCCCACAGAACATGTCAGGGGTGGGATGGAGGGGCGCCTACGACAGGGCTAGATCAGGTGAGCAAATTCACGGTTGACATTTGAAACAACATTCCCTGCCTGTATCAACGCAAAAGGTGGTCACACCAGACATTGACAGTGTTATTTGAGTTGTTACACAACCCCTCTTTGGGGCGTGTCGCTCTGTCTCTTCTAACAAGGTATGGGTGTTGCCATTGAGTTTGTTACTATATAACATGTATGTCTACACAGCAATCCACGGTCATTCTATTCAGTTAAAGACTCCCATGCTGTGATCTGATGCTACCTGGAACCTAGTATTTGTTTGGGTGTCACAGCCTTGCACTACTCCATAGTTTGGGTATTCCTATTATCCCTAAATGGTAAAGTCTTTGTATCTCTGCAGGAGCATATTTTCAGATATAAGAAGTCGTCAAGGGTAGGTCAGTTTGACATGCTCCACAGTCTGCCAATGAAACATCTGTATCAGTGTAGACATATTGAGTGGAAGAAACACGTCAACTGATGTCAAGACACCGCCATCCAGTTTAATCTACAACGACAAGAAACAAGCATACATGGAGATATTATAGCCTCGGTTGTCGCTCGAACCCACATTAACATGTCATGGAGTCAATACACCTAGATATTCTATTGAAAACAACTGCCTCTTAGATACTCGAGGTCTTAACTAGCTTTCAAAAAGTTTGATGGCAGACATGTGAAGGACATTTCCAAATTTGACGCATCAGTGACAAAAACCATGTCCGATGCAATTGCCTATTTTGGCTCGCAACAGTTGTTCCCGTGTATTTTCAGGTGAACAAGGTGTCTCTGCATGTGTTTGTGACGGCGGGGGCAGGATACGCTCTCCTAGTGTCATCACTATTTTATAGTGATTCACAAAGACATGCTCAAGATATAGTCGTAATCGTACAATCGACTCTGCTTTTGGCAGATATTTCTCATAAACATGAACTGGGTTTTGTCGCTTTTGTTAACAATAAAACCCAAGGGAGAGCTAGATTTAATTGTGTGGTTAGGCTCAGTAATTTTCCTGATTGCGTCTCATCCTAACACGACAACCCATGGAACGTTCCACCAAAGTTGTGCATAAGCTTGAATAATGCTGAGTGATACAAAAAATTGAGAAACAAAGTATAGAAGCTAACATTCAATTTATCAATATTAGCAATGCTCTTTCGACAGAATTGCTCTGAATTACTGAATTAACCGGTTTTCAGAAGATTCAGATCATATATAACAAAGTTTCCTTTGTAAAGAGCGTGACCCTACCTGGAACTGAGTTTCTGTTACGACCACCTGCAGGTCAAACACCACGTCTGGGGCAACAGGGAAAGGGTTGATGGTGTGATCGCCCTCCCAACCGCTATCTGTATACACTCCAAATGTTGCTCTCGCGTCTGGCAATACTCTCAGTAAAATCGTTTCCTGGTTTGACGATGGTTGACGTAGTGCGGTAAGCAAGCTGTTACAAAATAAGAGGTTTTTTTTGTTTTTTTTAAAAAAGCAATTGTGAGGGAAGCCAAATGTAAACATGCCTTTTTCTTGAGAAGTATTTTTGCTAGTATTAACACCACTCATTATCACTACACTGAAGAGATATATTCCTGTTAAATTTATTTATATACTTTATACCTCCAACAGCTTCTTATTTCAATACATCGTGTGTGTGTGTCTGTGTGTGTGTCTGTGTGTGTGTGTGTGTGTGTGTGTGTGTGTGTGTGTGTGTGTGTGTGTGAGAGAGAGAGACAGACAGACAGATACGTTTAAACTAAATTAAAACGTTTAAGCCTCAGGACTATGCATACTTGTGTCTCTTTTCATAAAACAACATTGCGTTCTTCCTGGCATTAAATGAAATTGACAAGGCGTAACACACAGTAGACTCTTACTCTACATTGCTGCTCTTGGATCCCCGGATGTCGATAATTACTCCGGGCACAATAGGCGCTGGTAGGGGAATACTGTTTTCCGTCTGCAATGGGATGTTCGGGTATGGATTATTTGCTCGTGGTGCATTATTGGCAGTATTGGTTTTAAGTTGTGCAGCATACATGTGGATGAAATGATGGCATTGGACCGGAAGTGCTCAAACCTTTATTATTAAGGTAGATTTCCTTTTCAAAACTGTACTGCATTGGGCATGCGTTTTTCCTATCCGGATTATATTTTAATGCTCTTTAGTCGCAATTGAGGTCGCTAGAGGAGTAGGAATTTCTGCTTCAAAGCTGTGCTGCATTTTCGAGGGACGATTCAACTACTTTGCTCCACACATGCAAAAAATATGTTTGGGAGAGTGGTTTGCCTTTGCATTCATGGTACACGGCTTGCAGCATCGACATTAATTCTATCTGATCAAGTTTGTTAAATACACACTCATCAGTTCGTCATTGGCATCGTCACGTACATTTGTCAGAGTCTGTTCAGTTGCTAATGGAGCATTATTTGTAGACACAGTGTTGAAGAATTTGCAAGATCAATCGAAACATCTTTGCTCCACATATACTCCAATTAATTTTGAAACATTGCTCTACCGTACCCGCTTGGAGCACATATTGGACCTTCTGACAGTGCCACTCAATTCATCTCTTCTATTTGTTCCAGTTTGTTACACAATGAATTCTTTCTCGTGTCCTGTATGAGAGTGTGGTGAGTCCCTGTCCACCATTCTTCAGAGATCTATTCAGTTCCTCATTTGTTTTTGACTTCTAAATTTTAACGGACGTATAGGTATGTGTGTGTGTATGTCGTATGGCTTATGAAATATTCTGCTACCAAGCGTGCTTAACAATATATTTTATGTCACATGATAAAAGAATTCGCCCATCATCGCGGAAGATTCGATTCGCCCAGACTATTTGTAGTGCATGTATGAAGTACAACCTCCTTTCTTGTGTACATTAAATATGCATTCAATGTCTTTGGAGCAAAATACAACGCTTCTTGTCACCATGTCTCAGCTGAGTGAGCGAGGTCGGGCGTGTGGTACAATGTCACCTGACCACCAAATGTATGTTGGCTCTAACGACAAACAACGTTCTGGGGACATAGTCTGGCCCTGATGGACAATGAGGTAGCCGAGCAAGTCGTTAATGCGTTCGCTCGTCACGCTGAAGGCCGGGCTATATTCCCCACATGGCATGGGTACAATGTGTGAAGCCCATTTCTGGTTTCCCCTGCCGTGGGGGGCACGGGTGGCCCAGTCGTCTAAGGCGCCCCGATTCGCTGTGCAGAGTTGCGTCCCTTGGGCACGCCAGAAACCTATGATTGTGGGTTCGAATCCCGGTTCGCCCCAATTATGTTTCTAGGTTTGTCTGCACCCCACCCGTGCTCGTGGGTTTCACTGAAGTGGTAAACGTCTGATACCTGCATCACTTCGGGCTTTCCTCCCACATTAAGCTGACACGCCGTGATATAACTGGAATAATGTTAAAAGCGGCGTTAAACCCAACTCACTCACTCACTCACTCCCCTGCCGTGATATCGCTGGAATATTGCTAAAAACGGCATCAAAATCCAAACTCACCCACTATTCTGAGTGTGTGAGTATGGTTTTACGCCGCTTTTAGCAATATTCCAGCAATATCACGGCGGGGGACACCAGAAATGCACTATTCTGATCCTTACTCCCACAAGGTGAGGTCTTATAACAAGTGAAGAATATATTTAGGAGATAAACCTACTATGTTTTGAAAATTGATGTAGTCCCACTGTAGAGTACATATCTCTTATTTTAATTTGGAACTGAGCGCTTTAGCCTAGCCGGCATTTTACGACACGGTGGATTGCATGTTTGTGACCCGTCAGTTTCATGATTCCCCGGCATTCGACGCCAGCATTTGAAAGAAATGAGAATTTTGGCCCTGACACGCGTGTTCTGAAATGAATTTCATCATGATTGATAAGCTGTTGTCTTTAAGCTGTGACTTCAGTGATGTTGGGACATTTGTTTACAATTGAGTTACCGTTGCCCTTTCGAGGGGAGGAGTGTTTTCTGGTGGACTTTCAAAACCCCTCCTGTCAAATCCTTACGGTGGTGGTTGAACATGGCGGAGATGGCAATGAATATCCATCACAATAAGGTTTGTAAATAACATGCTGTCACGAATAGAAAAAAATAAAACACTGTCTTTTAATGTTATATTTTACATTCATTCAATGAAGAAATTACCAGTTAGGCACCGAACATGTCCCTAACTGTTTCATAAACGTTATCATTTGTATGAAAAAGAGATGCCTTCGTTAAGTTTTGTTATCTCATCGTTGAAGCAGTCAGGGATACGGCCTAAAACGTCAAAATCTTCGCCCAAAACATCCGATATCAAACGTTTTTCCTCGACTAGACGCTCGGCCATCTATCACCCTCGCGAGAGTCGTTGACACGCCTGTGATAGTACCTGGCTTGTATGAGGGCCCGAAGTGATGCAGGTCTCAGACGTTTACCACTTCGGTGAAACCAACGAGCACGGGTATGGTGCTGACAAACCTAGAAACATAATCGGGGTGAACCGGGATTCGAACCCACAATCATAGGTTTCTGGCGTGACCAAGGGACGCAACTCTGCACAGCGAATCGGGGCGCCTTAGACGACTGGGCAACCCGTGCCCCCCAGATTATCAGAGAATGCATGTATTGGAACAAAAACGTCAGTGAACAGAGCAGGTGTTAATTCATTCGAAGACAGTATTTCAAATAATAACACCTGGAAGGTGTACCAAACTGTTAATTCTAGATAACGTTGGTTTCTTCTTTTAAGTATGCACTTGTAAGTATCTTACCGTGTCGATCCACTCATCTTGTTTGCACACATGGCTTGATCCACTCTGTTGTACCCAGACTCCAGCACTGAAGCAGTGGGAGTCCGCTGGACCTGTGCCTGGATACAGGGAAAACCCATCCTGGCACACACTAGACTTGTAGAAGAGGCAATTGGCTGTAAAAGTCAAAGAGAAAAATGGAAGGGATTATTTTAATATAAATGACCCCGCAATATGTAAGTCACATTTGTTTGTTTGTTTTTTTGTTCTTTAACGCCGCACTCAGCACTATTCCAGCTATATGACGGCGGTCCGTAAATAATCGAGTCTAGATCAGTCAATCCAGTGATTGACATCATGGGCATCGATCCACGCAATTGGGATCGATGACATACATCAACCAAGTCAGCGAGCCTCAGCATCCGATCCCGTTAGTCGCCTCTTACAAAAAGCATAGTCGCCTTTTACGGCAAGCAGGGATCTGTTTGTCATAATTGGGCTAGGAATAACTGGAATCAGGAATCAGGAATGTGCCTGATGAACATAATTTTTTAAAATACTTCAATATAAAACATCAACAAGAGGGAATAATCAGTTTGCATTATCTACCGAAACAGTCTCAATTAGGCACAAAGGTTAAACAGTGATGACAACTTTCATATGTATTGATCAGTCAAAATCAGTTACCAAATACAGTTATGAATTATTATATATTAACACTAGAAAGTTGATTGCGTAACAAGCAATACGACTCGTGAAGATCCGGGATAGAATAGGTCTTAAGCAACCCATGCTTACCATAAAAGACGAGTATGTTTGTCGTAAGAGGCGACTAACGGGATCGGGTGGTCAGGCTCAACCAAACAAACATTTGAAACCCAGTGGCGGATTGTTTCGTTTGGGGGACAATTTCGTCATTTTGTATCGTCTATTTTACGCTTTTTTCCTTTTTCAAATAGAATGTTGGTCAAGCATTTGTGATTGAGTATGTCCTAAAGTATTAAAATCTGTAAAGTTGCTATGTTGAGTTTACTTTCCGTGAAACGTATGCAGTCGACGAAGAGCGCAAACGGAGGGCGGTCTTGCGCGATCAAGCTTGTAATTTTGGCTTCACCTCCAAAAAAGATCGTATATGGAGCCTCCTTATATAACGTCTCTGCCTCCGCTGTATTTTCGTTTCAGTTAATAAAATTGATAGACAGGACTAAAGTGCTTAACCTTATGTATGCGCGGCCGTCGATGTTTTGAATATGATATTTGCATTAACGATGTTACAATCTATCCAATTCTGCAAGGTTGTACCTAGTTATGGTACTTGCGCTTCAATAACAAACTACAGCGCATCTGGTTTAAAGAAACTCTTCCAGTTAGAGAAAACGCATTCCCAACTACGCCCATTTGCCCTGAGAATAACATGAACCAAGTTCCACTGGCTCTGAAAGTACAATGCTTCTCGATTACGCGGCAAACGTTTTAAAAGTCTACGACGCTGTTGATAGCCTTGACCGTTGAAACGACTGTCCAATGTGTGGAAAGGATTCCCAGGGCTATAATACATCATGTAATATCACTGGGATACAAACTCAAGTGCGATGGCGGTAAATTTCGCCAGAACCTTAAAGCATCCCCATTGGCATGTGTTTATGAGCGTACCAGTGTCTCATTGGGTACCAAGGTTGCGATCACAGCATGGATGGACATAAAAAACAAGACATTTGAAACAATCTTGAAATATCAGTTGATGAATCAACTCGGAGCGTGTTGCCTTTTTGGGTTCCAAGGTTGCGATCACAACCATCTGAAATTTCAGTTAAAGGATACTGTATTTAATCATGAAAACGAAGTTTTTGTTTGTTTGTTGTTTAACGCCGCAGTCAGCAATATTTCAGCTCTATGGCGGAGGTGCCCCTGAGGAATATCTAGAGAAATTTATTATTGGGATAACACTATTACGTTTTGGGGGGCATTATTCTTATTGTATTAATAGAAGGTATTTGGATCAAAGGGCCCATGTTTAACTTACCAGCATAGTACTTGAAACCTGGGGCGGATATGGCGTGCGTGAGATCAAAGAAGGCCCGCTTGAACCTCCTGCATTCTCCTGAGGTGGGGTTCAGAACAAACATGTTGCAGCTTGGGTGACGGAAACAGTCGGAAGAACACTCCGTCAAGGCTTTCTCAGCCGTGTAGACTTTCACCAGTAAAGCATCTTGGTCGAAAGTCTGGTCATCTAGGCCCTGGTGAAGGTGGTACGAGAACTGACCACACGTGTTCTGACCAAAAGCAGAAGAAAACCACGCTTCCAAACTCAGAAACAACAGAAGAGGAAGGTGGTGTCCCATGACCGCGCCTCCTGAAAGCTGCGTGTTGGCCATCTGCTCTTCTGGAAAGTGGGAGAATGAATGGTGATGTCCCGTGACAAAGTCAAAGGAACGGGTCTGGGCGTCAAAAACAAACGACGTTTGTCTACTTCGGTAAATACTGTTTCAAGGAATGTTACTGACAAGAATAGAACAATGTTTACCCGACACATACCTAATTACGGTTCAACTGCGTTGATTACTATCGACAAATGTCACTTTCCATTATATGCAGGATAACAATGTTGGCTCATAGGAAAGTATATTCGTCATAATAGCAAATCGACTTTTAGGCTTACAAAACCATTAACTAACGGTTTTATACATCAATTACTATTGACAAATCCCATTTTCAACTTTCTGCTAGATAATGCTAATGTACCCTAATGGGAATATATACTGAACCGCAAAAGAAACGTCACCATGGATAGATATATGAGAAACCTTATTATGTCCAAACACTGTAAACATACTTGAGACATATTAAAAAGATGAAACTTGGCAAAACTGATCATCAAGGTTGAAATTAAAGTGACAAAATGTTCTTAAAGTGAAACACAACACTAGTCTCTGAGAAAATGGCATCACAAGACAGTATCTCATGTGTCCGCCATGTGCATTGATGACTTCCGTGCAACGTCGATACATGGAATGGATGAGGCGGTTGATGAAGGCCATAAGCACTTGAGTCTACACTCTGAGGAACGCCTGGCGCAGTTCAGCTGCAGTTGTCGGCCTTGGTCGGACGTCATTCAGCCGTCTTTGAATCTCGTCCCACGGGTGCTTAGTGGGATTTAAATCGGGACTGAGGGCAGGCCACTGCATGGTTCTGATGCCATTCTGCTGGAGGAAGTCTCTTGTTGCTCTCGCAGTAAGGGCACGGACGTTATCATGCTGAAACTCGTGGTTGCGGCGACGCGCCAAATGAGGTATGGCGTGTGGTCTCAAAACTTGATCAATGTATCGAGCTTCTGTGACACCATTGCCTCTCCCTGGACCGATGTTCTGGAAAACCACAGGGCCGACCCTCTGTACAAGACCAATTCCATCCCACACCATGATGCTCGGACCACACCACGAATCTCTCTCAACAATACAAGCATCCGAATAACGCTCCCCACGGCGTCGCCAGACTCTGTCTCTGCCATCTGCTGTTGAGATACAGTAACGGCTCTCGTCTCAGAAGAGGACTCTTCACTGCTGGTGGCGCCAATGTTGGTGCTGTGTTGCCCACTGAAGACGGTCCCGGCAATGACGTGGTGTCAGAATGGGTCCTCGGTGTGGCCTGTGACAGTGGATGTGTCTTCTCGTCAATCTTAGACGCACGGTGTCCGCACTAATGTGCTGGTGTGTCCCCATGGTCTATCGAGCAGTTTCCGCAGCAGTAACAAAGCGATATTGAAGATGCTGTCGCACAATCTGACGATCGTGACGTCGGGTGGTGACCCTTGTTCTTCAACTACGTGGTCGGTCATCTGTAGTGTTGGTGGTCTAGTACCGTTGCTGGAGCCTGTAAATGGTCCTTACGTGGACTTGAAATGCATTGGCTACTTGCGGGGCGATTTGTCCAGCTTGCAATCGTCCAAGGGCTTGGTGTCGCATATTTCTTGTAAACCTTGGCATGTGGTAGCAATTAAATAACGAATGAATGTCATCCGATCTGGGTGGATTTTAAAGTGCAGGAAATGGGGGAACGCATGTGCATCGGGTTGCCATGGTCGTTGCCGTGATGCGTTTGGGCGATCGGTTTTTTTGTCATCTGCTTTGTTTTTTTATCATCAAATTTCATTTTTCCGGACAAGGTAATGTTAAATTTTAGAAACTTTGACAAAAATTTAAATTACAACTTTTCATGCAATGTTACTTGGGTGACGTTTCTTTTGCTGTTCAGTATATATTTGTTTTCAGTGTAAATTCGCGTTGATGGACATTTTAGGCTGACACAGCCATACAAACATTAAATGAAGCTCTCCATAGAAACGTACTTTGACACGAAATGTAACTTGACAACAAAATAGCTTACACAAAGAGGGGATGGTATTCCCCATAGACCTTCACTAACAGTAAAACCCATATGTAAAGACGTACCTTGAAAGGATTCAAAGGGATTATTTGCCTAGCTATTTTGTCTTTGTCTTTGGCGAGGCCAATCATTAATGTAGTTAATGTTTGTACAGATATGACTCGTATGTTCTTGCTTCGGAATTATTTTGTATTGCAAAGTGTTATTGATCCGAGTGTGTTTAGTTGTATTCTTCTGTTTAAAGCGGCGCCAATCTCACTCGCTCACAAATTTCAAAAGTAGGTCGGCATGGTATTTTGCACATCATATACAACAGGGGCAAGTACACATTGGTGCATAGTGTCGTGTCCCGGAAGGATTTGTTCATTTCAAAAGGGGAAGTCCATTAACTTTAGATCTTTTCTTTTCATCACGTGGATTCCAGCAACGGAAAGAAGTTACAATTAGTTACGAACATAGAAAAATAAAATCCAAAAAACTATTTCCATTATAAATAAATAACAATTTACTTATTTGGTTGTAATGTTTCGTCCCCAAACCTTTCTTTTATAGTTTACTCAGCACTATCGGTATATGCTACTGGGCTTATGGTGAAACTCGAAAGTCCACCAGCTGAATCATCTACCCAGTTCAAGTAAATATCTAACGTCAGAATTACAACCAGAATAATAACTCATCCCTCTTTCATACAATCCTGTGGATAGTTTCTTGTCACTATGCATCTTTAAGTACAGATTTAAATATGAAACATTCTCCCTGGTCTGGTGGGTAATCTGTGGAAGGTAATAGGCTATTTTACCAATATTGAACGATATTAGATCATCGACATACGCGACGCTTAGTTGTAGCTCGCATCACGGACCTATATATCCATACACTGCATGGATTACGCATCACAGTTCAATCTGTTAGGTTCTGCTTAGATGAGGGTGCAAGCTTTGAGTGGGGCATTTATGTTAATCCAGTAGAACCTGCTCACCGTTCCTTGATATATGATACATACCCGTTCTTTTCCACTTGCCATGTATCAGTGTCAAAGAGTATATGTTCCTGAAGTGACCTTGTTCCTTTGTACTATATTTTTCTTGGGGAATTATTCCCATTAAACAGTTTTTTCCACGATATATTTACTGTGGAACCGACATCATAGCATGCCTTGTAGATAGAGTTCCTCATGTAGTGAGTGAGTGAGTTGGGTTTAACGCCGCTTTTAACAATATTCCAGTTGTATCACGGTGTGTCAGCTTAATTTTGGAGAAAAGCCCGAAGTGATGCAGGTCTCAGACGTTTACCACTTCGGTGAAACCCATGAGTACGGGTATGGTGCTGACAAACCTAGAAACATAATCGGGGGGAACCAGGATTCGAACCCACAATCATAGGTTTCTGGCGTGCCCAAGGGACGCAACTCTGCACAGCGAATCGCGGCAACCGTGCCCCCACCTGTAGTGAAGAAGCAAATAAAATGCTTTGCTGTCGCTTTATAACTCACATACATAAAACTCGCACATCACTTACGATAACGAGAAGAAGTCGTAGAAAAGGAATGTCACTGTAAACTGTGCTATTTACGTGAATGAAGCAATCCATGTTCATTCTAGTCAGTTAAGACTGCCTGTTATGTGGTCTGAGGACAGCTAGCTCCTCGTATGTGTTTGGTGTGCAACCTTGTACTGTTTCATAGTTCGGGAATTGTCAAACAATTTTTTACCGGTAAAGCATCTTGGGTTTTGTCATCTAGGCCCTGGTTAAGGTGGTACGAGAACTGACCACACGTGTTCTGACCAAAACCAGAAGAACGCCAGGCTTCCAAACCCAGAAACAACAGAAGAGGAAGGTCATGTCTCATGACTGCGCCTCCTGAAAGGTGCGTGTTGTCCATCTGCTCTTCTGGAAAGTGGGAGAATGAATGGTGATGTCCCGCCGCCAGAAGAATATCTCTGACAAACGTGTCCACACGTCGTTTATATATTGATGTGTAGTTGTCAACGAATACTTCTGAAAATATTGACGTGGTACAAGGTTTTCGGAGGATAGAACTATGCATGCTGTGTAAATACATACTTCCGGTTTAACGTACACCGATTATCATTAACAAATCTCACTTTCCACTATATGCAGGATAACACTGTTGACTCATGGGAATGTATTTGTTTTCAGGGTAAATTCGCGTTGGTGGATATTTTAGGCTGAAACGCCAAAACAAAACGCAAACAAGGGAAGGTATTCCCTGTCGACCCTCACCAACAGTAAACGTATGTAAAGACGCACATAGAAAGGATTTAGCATGCATTTCAGCCCTGGATATGTTCTTTGAAACGACTCAAGACTCAAGGTCATCCTCAAGGATAGAGTAGGATTTACTCTATGTCAGTGGAACTGGGTACATGCCATACTTTGCATAAATGGCAAGATTTCTTATAATTATGAATATGGCCTGTGTCCGCTTTTATTTGCCTGTGTATAAGGTCAAGGCTACAGTGAAGGTGGTTCACAAAGTATGTTTGCCTTTCGATGACAGGCCATAGTGATCCTCAATCAAACAGTAGCATATGCCATATGTCATTAGCAACCCATGCTTGCCGTAAAGGGCGACTAACGGGACCGGGTGGTCAGGCTCGCTGACTTGGTTGGTACATGTCATCGTATTCCAATTGCGTGGATCGATGCTCATGGTGTCAATCACTGGATTGTCGGGTCCAGACCCGGTTATTTACAGACCGCCGTCATTTAGCTGGAATATTGCTGAGTGCGGCGTTAAACAATAAACAAACAAACTTTGTTATATTGAATTCAACATTTAGTATATATGCTGGATAGCTCTTTGCAATGTGCAAGAAATACTTGTCAGTGATATTAAAGGACTAACTCACTATCAAGGTCACGCGCTCGTAAAAAAAACTTTTGTATGTTCAAAAGAAATTAAGAAGTCAGGGTTAGAAACTAACAGTTTTCGTCCACTAGTCCTTATAATGATAACATTTAGTAAAACCCTTAAA